ACACAGGGCATACATACTTGCTTCCCTGGATCAAGAAGAGAAGCTCAGAGCCGTCTCCCGGCCCTCCCTTACAGACTGCTACCACCTCGTGGACATTCTTGTTCCACCTCTTGGCAGCAGTAACCGAAATTTTCAAAAGTCGGTTCTGTTTTCCTCTGTTCTCTTAGCTGTTCACTAGAAAAAAATGGTTCTTAGGGAAAGAAGTAGCAAACCCAAAGAACTTTAGGTGTACTGTGACACTGTAGAAAGAATTACATGAAAGAAAACATGTCAAAGACTTCCTTCATAAAGTTTATACATGGATCTCAAAATAGCACCTATCACTCTATTTTGCAAAACCAAATAAAACTTTTAAGGAAAGATAGCAGAGATGTTTTAAAAACAAATTAATAATTTGTGAAGAAAGATTTCTCTAATATCAAACAAAGCTTTAGTGCACTCATCCTGAATTCCTGCCATTCTTGATTCACTCAGAAACAAATTAAGACTGAGACAGTGAAACAATTTACAATATTAAGCTTAAAGAAAACATCTTAAATCAAGCTGCTACCAAGACAAACACTTTTTTCCTAAGAAAGAATATAGCAATACATAACTTCTCACCAGAAGTACCCAAAGATTCCTGGAGATCCCAGACTAAAGTTTAGGCTGTGAAGTTTCCCCTGTAAACTCCAGTAAGCGACAGTGATGCCCAGTGGACAGGACAGATTTATAACACACTGGCAGTTTTTTCACTCCAATCTCTGGGCAAAGTCAATCCTGCCTCCTATCCCTGCCTCTCCTGTTAACCCCTCTAAAGGAAGGTTGACTCTTAGCAAAACATTGCACTAACACAACATGATTGAGATGATGATTTTTAATTACTACAATGATAGAAATAAAAATAGATAATTGAAATAAGAGCATATGACTGATTTTGTTTTGTGATTAAATTACAGAAATTATTGTTTATACAAGGGAAGCAAATCTGATCATTCAACTGGCATTTTGGGAAAGGAAAAAAGTAATTCTGGAAATAACAGGGTATTAATCAGCTAATATTACTTTTCATCTTACAAACAGAATAGTTTTAAGGACAGTTTCAGGATATTTTTCCCCACTGTTTGCTCATATTACAAGGGTTTTCTTGTGGCACACTGTAGTAATATAGTTATATTAAATGCACAATTTTCTCTCATCATAAGTAGGGAAATAATATGGTTTAAGTTTCTTTTCTCAGAGACATAATTTATTTCAAATATTTTAATAGCATGGCACAGATGTTCCACACCTGTGTGCATCTCAGGACCACCTTCACTACAGAGAGAAACATATACATTGCTTTCCAAAGTTGAAGATGCAGAGTCTGACTCTAGAGGGGGTTGTATACATGGAATGTGATGATGAGAGGGATGAAGAAACTTTCCTATGTGTATTAAGAATCAGTGTTCTCTCATTTCATGTACAAACAGATACGACCATAACATATATAGCCGATGTAGAAGTCATGGCATTCATCCTGTGGCAGCAAACAGCAAAACTCCCATGACTGTTTAGTCCTAGAGACTGTGGAGCTGGTAGGTGGTTTGTGATTATACAGATCAAGAGTACATAGTAACGTCACTACTGTAAGAGGTAGGTTTAAATTCTCCCTCTTCTGCTCAGTAAAAGATCACACTTACCAACCACAGTCCCTTCTGTGACCATATGTCCCCTTTGCTTTGGGCACGGTTCAGAGGGCTGGGCAGTCGTGCCTGCCCGTAATTCACAGAAGTCCTGGGGATGGATATTCACACACAACCAACTTGGACTCCTCTGTTAGCCAAGGAGCTCACCACCGGTGCCTCTGTAACCAGTGGAGGAAAAGCAGGTCTTCCAAAGAGCAAACCCAAGCAGATCCAAAATTTCATGTTCTGGTTTGTTCTTCAGGAGTACCTTCAAGAACAAGAGGAAGCTGAAGGAGTCCAGTCAGTGTGTTTAGGTGACTGTGATCTCCAACACCACAGTTATTCCTGAACTCCTGTGTGAATTTCTGTTGGGCCTTCACTGTATAACCCACCAGACTTTCCTGCTTGTGCCTCCTCAAACAGCTGAAGAGCACCCTGTCTCAGTTGTACACAGGGATGAGTACTATCCAGGCATAGAACAACGATGGAGTACATTACTATGGAGATTTGAACTAATTCTTCTGCAGGGCATAAAATAAACCTAAACAGAAGCAACTCTTCTCTCTGAAAATAAACAAAAGTAAGCTGTCCTCCTGTGGACTTTCAATTTCATTTTAGTATTTTAATTTAGTTTTTTTAGGATGAAGACCCCCCCCAACTCACTTGTGAGAGACGACAGTGAGCAGTGTACTGTTCTTACACATTAAGACCCTTTCAAATATTCCCTTACATTTATCCTATAAAATCACAGGGTGAAAGAAAGGGGAGGAGGGAAAATATTAGTGCTCACATTACTGTCAAACTCTAAACAAAATTGGAAGTAGGTCTAGTCACACTTAATCTTGATCTCAGTGACTAGTTATCTCATTCCCATCTTGCAGCTCACCCTGAATCACCTGTTACTGAGCCATGTATCCATTAGAGTTAGGTCTCTACTACATTTCAAAAATGGTTTCATCAGTTTTGGGTTTAATTCATTTCCTTTTTACATATGATGTCATCTACACCAGAAGCCAGATCCTCCAGGTGAAGCTGTTTTGTCTATTATGTTATTTTGTCTGCTGTGAAGAGAATTAAATCTAGGAACCAGATCTAAAGCAATGAGACATTTTTTTTCTGCAAAAAACAAGTCTTAATGGCGCTGGTATCTGATTAAGGCCCAAAGCAAAAACAAATTCATATGAAACCAAACTTTTATCTTTTGGCCTGATATAAGCAGAGAGTAGGCAGGATAGGGAATGCTTTGGAAGGGGATCATGTCTATGATTCTGTGACAAGTAATTAACTCTGGGCAGTGTTGTGGTCAATGCACAGTACCAGATTCCCAATCATCCAAATACTAGGTATTTTTTCAAAGCCTTTCCTCTACCTAACATGTTTTCATTCAAGTGACTTCTCCCAACTTCAAAGAATTCCTTGCTCACAAGCAAATAACTCCCCAGTGCCTTCAAATGCCTCTGTTGCTTTACAAAATTCTTGATAGCACCTAATCTGCCTCTCCTGTCATGTTAGCCAGTACTATCTTGTTCTTGCATACACACTGAGTGATAAGTTTTGTAGGAATAAGCTTTGTTCATTATTTGTACAATATTGCACAGTCCAGATTTTTGACTCAGGCATTGAGATTGTAGGCCTTAACCATAACATACTAGTCATAAAAGCAGTAATAAGTAAAGGTGCCAACACTTTCTATAGGAACCCAAGTAAGCTATTTCCTGCTGCAGTTGAATACCTGCTTTGTGGTTTAATTGATTAACAGTTCATTCAACACTATTTTTAAGTTCAGTGTGGTACATATCAGTTCAGTGTGGTACATTACATTTCCTTTACAGTGGGATGTAATTTTATTCTGACATGCTAAGTTATGGTATTTTAATGTAGATAATCTCTGCAGCCTGTCTCCGCTTGAAAGAGAGAGACTGATGTGAGGGTTCTTTGACTTTCTCAAAGATTCTGTCTGTGCTCTGTTTTTTTAAAGGGCAAAAGAGATTCTGTTATCTTCTAACTCAGAGACAGTGGTGCCCCATCCTTGGGAGCCTCAGAATCTGAATGATCTATGACCTTCCAGTCAGTTTTCCCTAGTGTACTGGCCACACCAATGTGAAGTCATCAGAACAGAATTAAGCACATTGGTAAGTTATTGTGTTATGCTTAAAATCTTGTATATGGGCAAAAAGGAAGAATGCCTTATATTTAATAAAGCCAAGAATTTATTGTTAGTGTAAGTGAAATCTTAAAAGGAAAATCATTATTATTCCAGATCTAATTGCTGCAGGAAAAGGAAAAATAATAATGCAACTAAAATTGTTATACGTAAGCTTCATTCACACCCTTCTTCTACCTTCCCTTCCACTGCTACTCTGGATCCTAAGGTTAGCAGTTTCACTGTAGACAATTTGTTCTGGTGAAGGTAAGAGTTGTTTGTTGTGCATTATCAGCCTCTGAAGTCCTTTGCTGGGAGAAATATAATAGTTATACTGATATCTTCCTCCTCACTCTAGGATCCAAATAACTCTGGGGTCATTTCCATATGTTTGCTGCACCCTTCTCTTTCTTCAGGAGTGTGCAAGTCCATGTTACATTTGAATTTACCATATCCGGTGTTCTTTTCATATGTTAGATATTTCCCTGTTCTCTTTGTTACCCCCTGGAAGGAGGTTTGTCCAGCTGCAGGCCTGCATTTCTACATAGAACAATTCCTTGTCGCTGCTGTCTGTATAAGCCTATATTTGTATCACTCAAAGGTAAACAAAATAAAACAAATTAGCCATACATGTCAATTAGAGAGATTGTTGTCACAGATAAATTAGGTGAAACAAAGCTGCAGGCAGATAAAGTTCAGACAGGGCAAATCTGACATGCCTTAGTGTTGAGGTCTTACAGATTCAGTACAAATCTCATGTTCTAGCAGTGTCAGTACTGTATTGCAGGGCTATACATTTAAATATGAATGTCAGCTAATAAGTGCTTTCATGCAGTCTGTACAGTAGTCATACTGCAAACTTATTTTGAGGTAGTAAAGACTTGGGCAGTTTTTGTGCTTTATATATACAACAAATTGCAATTTGGAAATCATAAAAAAAAATTGAAAATGCATAGAGGTGGAACTGAGATAGCTATGCTCTTATTCTGTTACCTTTGAAAATAAATCCTAGCATCTTGAATGGAATAGGGTAGGACTGCTGTGAGTACTACAGTAAGGAAAGGCCTACTGTCAGAATGAGTGGGTCGTCGGATTATCTTTGACATGCCAGGCAGATGTCATGTCAGCTACAGGGAGACACTGCATTACAAATATGCAGTATCTGTGTGGTCAGCAATCAGTGACTTCACGCTGTAGTTGGAGCACCTGTAATGGTACCAATGGTGTCTAATATTCATCATTGTCATCTGATGGTAAACAAGCTGTACAGGAAGCAGAGGTAAGTTTGCACAGCAAAAGTTTGTACATGCACAAAATAATATGTATTTTTATTTAGAGTTTAGTGAAGATTTCTTCACAGATCCAAAAAATGAGGCTCAAAAGGAGGCTTCCCTATTCATCTATGTGGAACTGGTGTAAATAGGATGAACCACTTTTAAGTGTGTCCTTTATATTATAAAGATTACAGTATAATCTTACTGCTTGTACTCCTCCTGTGTGACTCTTTTTTCAGATTGGATACTCACTACTCCAGTAATGTTGTTGTACACTACAACAGGTTTGGAGATAATACAGATATAGTAAACTCTTGACAAAGAAGTTTTTATCTAGGAGAAGGTGGGAATAGGCTGATAAATCTTGCTGTGAGCTGTAGGTAGATGAAGGACTTGCTTTGCTTTCCTTTATGAATCTAATTCAAAGCCTAATGAAATCAATATGCTTTCCTATGTTATTTTAAAGCACTTGAGAATAAATTATTTTCCTATAGATAGGGATGAAAATTAGTTACATAGTTATGCATCTCTCATCATCCATAAGTTCTGCCTGTACTGTTACTTATCCCAGAAGTCCAGCTCAGCTCAAGCCGTTGTTCTCAATGAATAACAATACGAACCAGCTTAAAATGAGTTTGTTGTGAAAATATGAGAGGAGAATTATAATAGCCAGAAGAGAAAGTGAAAAAGATGAGAGCTGTATGACTGCAACATCAACACTGAAATCTGTGTTGGGAGAATATTTTGTTATCCTATTTTCTATAGTGTTTTTGCCAAAATTTATAAACAAAACCTGGCCAGATTGGATCAGTGCTTAATTACAGGCTTCTACATCTGGCAAGAATTAATTGGACAGAGTTGAAGGAACTTAGTTGCTTTATTCCACTGTCACTGGTTGAGAGTGGAATGAGAGTTATTTATTCTTTCCTGTGTTTGCTAAGTTTATCCAGTTGCCTTGGATGAACTTGGAACTTCTGGCAGTTGTTGATTTTGGTCCTGAAATACTTCTACATTGATAAGAAAGCATAATAACAGTTTTGCAATCCTAGCGTAACTAGTTGTGGCCACTAAATTTTCAGAAACACAAAACTGAAAGGGAGCTGGCACCCTTTTTGAGGCCAACACAGTTAGTAAAAGCTTGTAATACACTGAAAAGCACTGGTACTCATTGACATCATGTTTATCTAGAAATTAGCTACTTCTGCAGTATGGGTATATTACCTGTCATAAGTAGGCTGCTACATTTGGTAACCAAGAAAACTGGTAATTGCTGTCTGTCTAGAAAGGAACCTCTGTCCTTTGCAACTGGACATGATAATTTATTAGAAGGGATAAGATGTGGAGGAACACTCAGAATCCCAGCTCCCTGCCTTTTTGTAAACAAGGACAGGGATTTCTGTTATAGTCTTTTAGTTGCTGTTCTTTAAAAAGTGCAGCTTTCCATGTTCTTTATTAGTGACTTGAATTTCATGCGCAGGCAACTGGAAGTGATTCTTATTCAGCCTGTCCAACTCTCCAACAAAGTGTGTTGTGGTGTTGTGGTATTGTGGTTTTCAGGCTTTAATGAAACTTTCCAAGTGAGGAGCTGAAAACTGCTGCCTTAAGTATGGCCAGTTGTCCCTCCTCTCCTGAGGAATGATGTTGTGCAGGCAGTTACAGGCAGTTAGCAATTCTTGGGATAGAAAATACCAAGCTGCAGTAGAATATAGGTGCTTGTTTAGCACTGAAGGTGTTCTATAGGTGATAATCACACACACAAACTCAGCACCTTTTCTTAAGCACCTTCTTTTAAAGTGTAGAGCAGAGAATGTTTTTAGAAATTCAAGTTGTTATTAAAAGTCCTAATCAAGATATCAGTTGCATTATTGATATGCTCAGTGGGAGCAGGCATCTTTTTCTGGCAGCTACACAGACTTTGATTTATAGCAGTGTAAATCAGATTTGCACCTGATTCACTGTGGTGTGCTTTTTCATGGCAGCACACACTATTTAACACTATATCATACTGCAGTGCTAACCAGCAAGACACTGTTTGTCTGCTCTCTGCCTACCAACATTGAACTTACATACTAGCCGACCCACACACTGACCTCTGCACAAGCAGACACACAGTGGTACTACTTACAAGTAAGCAATGCACAGGCAGGGATGCTATATCGCTTCACTATTGTCAGCTTTACCAAGTATAATAGCCTATCTAAAGATGGCTTGTGGCCATTGTTGTACTCAGAAGTTAATGCAAAGACACAGCATAAGAAATGGCTGGTGAAGGACTGGAAATTAATCAAGCATTAGAAAAACAATGTGAGGCAAAGTGGACATCATTATTTCTCACTTTGGATGTTCCAGTTTCCTCATGACCAAAACACCTGCTACTTTGCCCACTATTATCCTTACCCCTACTCCAATCTGTAGGAGTATCTGGGGGCCATCTCTAAAGATCCAGTGAAGTCCAAATTCTTCAAGATTCACATCTTATGCCATTCACTGGCAGGAAACATCATCATCATCATCATCACCACCACCACCATCCCCCTCCAAAAGTGACAAGGAAGGCTGTGATACTGATGGTAAGGGTGCATCCAGGAGAAACAGAGTTCCTGGATAATGAAGGGGTTCATGGATTTCATTCGTGGTAAGCAAAGCTCAACTCCTGTGGGACAATTTTATCTTGAAAGTGGTACGAATGTTGAATCCATATGGTGTGATTGTGGGAAATCACCACTGCTTTTAACAGGCCATGACTTGAATTGCAAATATAGATCTATTGTAGGAGGAATGTTACCCTTCCATCTGGTGTACCCAAAACATGATAAAAAGATAACCTCATTTTCTTTCCCTTTGAAACAGTTGATTTTCCTTTCCACTATATTTTTTAGTTTGATGTCTCTATGTCCCTTATTGTTTTGATATTGTTTACATCTTTGCACTGCATCCAAGCGTTTCTGACTGCTTTGTTTAGGTTTAGTTGCATTTCAGAGTGGGTTATTTGCAGGTTTTCCTTTAATATACTTTCTCCTTTCTGGTAATAAATTATATCTTCAAAGCAAAAAGAGTTTTCATCAAAATGTTTTCAGCATATTTCTCCCCATATCCTCTGCAAAAAAATCTAGTTATTAAATTCCTTATTTCTTTCATTTGCTTCTTTTCTGGCATACAACTACTTTCCAGAATGAGATTAGGTTCAGAATAGATCCCAGATGTCCATTTGACAGCAAAGATTGCCAAATTTACTTGTTTTAATATAAATGGTTTTGACTTCCTATGTAGACTTCCAGTCACAAAGACATTGATATTATGGATATAAAACTAAACCTTCAGGTATTAAATTAAACCTTCAGCAAGTAAACTAAATCTCTCTAGTTTAACTTCTACAACAAATTAATACAAACAAAACTCTTGTGCAGAAAGTCAGTGTCAGAAATAGTACATTTAATGTTTTTCATCTAGGTACAGCTTGTTTTAAATAAGATTTGTGTTCCTTCATGTGACTGGTTTGGCCTATAGATCCCTAGCTTACAGGGATTGATGCTTCAGGTTGCAGACAAAACACACATTTGAAAAGACATGAAAGAACACACACGTGAAAGACTTGGAGTCCATGGGACAGCATTTCCATAATGCTCTCTTAAACTACTGCGTAAACAACAAGCAGGTAAAGATCCTCCTAGGCCTTTTCTCCTGCCTCAGTTAGTCCAGCTGTGAATAACAGAGTAGTCTATAGGTCTATAGCAATAATAAATTTGATAATGACTTTCTTTAACCAATTAACTAAATTTGCAATGTTTCTTATTATTAGCTGTGCCTGCAGGAACACAAGAAGGTAGTGAAACAGCAAGCCAGGGTGAACTCCAAGGTCCTAAATTCTGATGTGTTAGACTGGAATACCAAGTAACTTAGAATTATTTAGATATGCCACAATTTATTTTATGTTCTCCTTATCTCATAAAGAGTGTCAAAGGAAAAGTTATAAATGTTACTAAAATTAGACTTTTACTACTCACACTTCTTAATTTAACTCTTCTTAATTTAACACTACTTAAAAGATTCCACACAAATCTTATAGCCAAACCTTAATAGCCAGTTCACTGGAAGCAGAGCTCTGTATCTACTCCAGGTGGCCTTCCTGAGGAGAAATGAAACTGCATTGATACAGACCTTGGTCTAGTGCATCACTTAAATCAATATGCTTTTTTTGCAGCCTTACATTTTGCAGAGCAATCTAGGCCCCATATAAGGTGTATTATTTGGTTTTGTGGAAATTTTTTCATTAACCTTGGAAGACACTAGCATGATTCCATTTAGCCAAAGCAGTTAAGTTCAGGGGAACTGATCGAAGAGCAAGAATCTGTACACTGACTAAACAACACACCTATTAAACACGATCAGCTTCTCCTGTGCAGACTGTTACTGGAAGATCAGATGTGCAGGTGATTTTAGAGAGGTGGGCATTATGCATTATGAAGAGCTGTGGCCCTAATGTGGTCATTTATTGGGGAATAAAACTTTTGTACATTTCCTTTTTGGGGAATCTTTATTACGTTGGATCTATCTCACCAAACTTAAGGTGCCCAGAGTATAGAAATCAAGATCTGAGCTTAAAAACTGATGCTGAACTGCAAAGAAATAAAAAAGAGACATGTGGATAGATTTAAATTAGAAAAAAATTCTTCACTATGAGTGTAATGAGCCACTGGAACAGATTGCCTGAAGAAGGTGTCACTGCTCCATCCCTGGAAGCGCTCAAGGTAGGCTGGATGGGACTTGGAGCAACCTGATCTAGTGGAAAGTGTCCCTGACCATGGCAGGGGAGTTGGAATTAAATGATCTTTAAGGTCCCTTCTAACCCAGACCATTCTATGATTTTATGATGGCGCTATCATCTTGATGCATCAAAAGAGAATTAGGAGATGGTTTACTTGTTGCACACCAGCTAAAACCAGGTACTGAGGTATGCAATGACTTTTCCTTGTTGTTTATATCTCTGTCCTGAATGACACTGGGAAAGACTCACTAGAGTTTAAAAAACTCTATTTTGAAGAACTGTAGAATTAAGTCAGTCAGAATAGTAACTAACAAATCAATAGAGATACAGTCAAATGAACAGTGCACAGCAGTAGTATTCATTTTCCCTGTAGCTTAACCTGTATTGTCCTGAAAGTAGTGGTTTTGTTCCAAAGAGGGTGGCTTTCCACCTCTCAGGTTCTGCAGTACAGCTGAGTAAACAGACATAGGGTCAGGATAAGGAGGGCATCAGCTTTAAGCATGAGAAGTATCAGTTCCATGTACTCTGATGTCAGTCATGCTTTGCAACATTCAGTTCAGAGTGTTCGGGAGTTGCGTGCTCCTCTCATACATGCAAGAAAGTCATCACAGTGGCACTAAGTGTCCATTGCCTACATCTAAGCTCACAGGCACATGTAGCTTCAGATTTAACAAAGTGATTTCACTGGAGGGCAATAAGACATTTTATTTTCCTTAAACCTTTATTTACTTGTTTTGCTTGTTTTGCTGAAAAAGAAAAGGGAGTTGTAACATGTTTTTTATCCTTGTTTACTTGTTTATTTTTTTTGTGCCTGTGATTGACATAATATTGTATCACAATATTGTGAGTATTACAAGAATAAACTCTTGTGAGTAAATGTGTGGGCATCGCGTTACAGGAAGGGTGCTGAATAGCACTCTGGGAGATGTAGTTTCCCAAGTACTCTATCACACGTGCAGTGAAGTGCCTTGGTTGTTAAGGTCACATGGTGTTACTATTCGAACCCACATACAAGCTGTTGTCCCATTTGAATAAACAGATTTGGTTGCTGGAACCCCAACCAGCCGGGTCGTATGGGTTTATTTATTATATTAATAAAACCATATAAATGACTTTTAGAAAGCTTGTGGATGAATTTTAGCCAACAATAATAGTTCCTGTAAATTGTTGCTTCCTGTTTGCGACATAAATACTGCAAAAAAACAACAGTAAAATGGGAAACTAATACCCAGACTGTGTCCTAAGAGCTTGTCCAGCTGAAGTGACCCCTGTAATGCTTTGGAAAACATGCAGATAGGCATATCTGATGACTGGGCTGATTGAAAAATTGAATTCTTTGGAGTTTTAGATCTAGTTTCAGAGGTGGTAGTTTGAAACATGCTGTAGTCAGATAAGCTCTAGTGAGCGCACTTGTGGTGAGGGAAGCTGCCAGATAACATGGGAGATACAGAATCCTGTTGGATAACCGATTTGAGGGGATTTCAAACTCAGGAAAAGAATTGGAAGGGTGTAACACTGCTTAAGGTAAGAGCAGTCCAGACAAACACAGAAGACCACCATAGAAAGTTAGGGTATTGTTTCTCACAGAAAGTTAGGGATTGTTTCTCATCCGTTTAGTTTAGTCTTTAAAACGGTAATATACGTAAAAGAAGCATTCAAGAACAAAGAAAGGCAGGGATGCCTTCATACAACCACATTAAAAGAATCATACATAATCCTTTGTTAAAGCTTAATTACTCTAGGATAGATATTAAGTAATGGACTATCATATCCCTCATACCAACAGACATTTCACATGATGTGATGAGCCATTTTACAACCACTTTCTATCTCCCCTTTTCTCCTCCTGCCACATTCCCTGTTGTATATTCCTTCCACTTATATCCTTCTGATGTTCAGTCCCTGCCGTGACTGAATAAACCAAACCCATCAAAAGGAATGAGATGGTTTTCTGCTGGGTTGAGTTAAATCAGATCACACAAGATTTTTATTTTTTTTTGAGCATCAGAGCCAGTTTAAGGAATGGAGTAAAACACTAGCTATGAGTCACAATCAGAGCAAGAAGCTTCTTACTTCTCTTCCTCTCATGATTATGGGCACTTTCCCATGTGGATCTACTTCAGTGACTAATTAAGTTTATTAGATAAAAAGACTTACCAAAATTTCTGTTATTGTTCTTGATGAAAGTTCTTAGAGACATTTGAAAAAAGTGAATAGCGAGGAATATCACAGCTACAGTAGAATTTTTGACAGAAATGCATGCTGGAGCTGTACGTAGCCCTCAACAGCATTTTGCTGCTGTTCAGCCTAGAAAACTATATGGCCTTAAGGATGTAAAACAGAAGCATTGTTATGGTGACCTAGAGAAAACTGTCATTTGGAAAGAAGACACATTGATATTTTTATGGGTAATATTCTTTTTATGTATATAAACATTATAATGCTGACTGCTTTATTAATGCTTTTATTGGTTCAACAGTTATACCAGTGTTTCTCAAGCTTTTTGCATTTTCTGCCAATCCTTCTTTTTAGAAGCCCCAACACTGGAAAAACAGAGCAGTGGCAATTAATGCTACTGAGAAAGCATGGATGTCCAGGTTCCCAGACTAAAAATAAACAAGCCATACTGAGTAGGAAGTGAGGTCCCTTGTCAATATGATATGTTTGTATCCAGGTTAATAAGTATTTGCTGAACAGAACAGCATAAAGAATTCAATCTTGAGCAGCTTGCTTATATGTACTCCTTCTGGCATTGTGATTATCATGTTTATTTGCAAATGTTGGGGTTTTTTTTGATTTGTAACTATGATATGCCCTCATGAATTAAAATGGCTACATTTCTGAAAAAAAAACAAAAAAACCCCAAAATATCGGGAGAACATTTTCACATTTCCTTAGCATCGCTAAGGAGAGAAGTAATAAAATCAAAAATACTTGTATTTTTCATCCCAGGATGAAGTTTACTAAAGGGTCATTGTCAGAATATAAGATGTAATATTTTTTAAAAACTTCTCCATTATTGCTATTCAGCATCCTACATAACTATTTAGACAATGTGAGTCTTGTTGGAGTTGACAAACACTTAAAGATCATAGATAAAAATAATATAGTCTAATGTTATGTTCCTACATTCATTAAAAATAATTTAATTTAGATATTTTTTATAATGCTGAGAACCTAGCAGCTTGCAAAATGAACACAAGTTGCTGAGTCTTCTGAGCTTTTGAAAATCATGTTAAATACTGAATGCCGAGGTTGCCCTCTGCGTGTGGGGGAAAAAAAAAAGACCAGCCCCTTACATGTTAACTCTTTTTCCCACTAGTTATTGAACTCTTACCAAGCTTCCCCTGTCCTGGTGAACACTACTTGAACAACCCATAAAGGAGCTGACTGATAATACCTTTTGGTCAATCAGTCTTTTGGAAATTGATAATAATAATAATTCATTCCTGTTTTTATTCTGCTTCACAGACTCAAGGCATCGATACTCAACAGGTATCGGACCCAGTGAAAAAAGGTAAGCATTATACGTTTGGTTAATTTTTTAAATCCAAATAAGACATTTTTTTCTATAATCTCAAACCTCAGTAAAGAGTATGTTTCACAAAGATAAGTACAGAGTTCTTTGGCTGGGGTTTCACTCAGTCTCAGCATTTGGAAGAGCTCATTTTTCTATAATTTAAACTGTCTCCATCACATTATTACACTATTATGTATCGACTGACAACAGTCTCACTCGTGAAAAAATAAACCCAAGGCAAATTCCAGAGAGGGAAAAAAAATATTTGCTCCTTCTGGCAGTAGGGTACAAGCATTTGTAATAATTTGCAGAGCAGCACTAAAGCCAGCTGCAGCTAACCTTGTCCATGGCTGGCTGGTGGCACATCTGCCAGGTCAGGTCAGGCTGAGGGAGAGTGCAGGGGCCTGGGCTGCAGCAGTCATTTTGGCACTTGAGGAGATGTGGTCTTTACCTGCCATCCGTGCTGGGGCTGTGCCTGTCACACCAGCCAAGGCGCTGGAGAGAACCAGGTCTGGAGAAAAAAGACACATGAGCCACCCACAGTACAGAGGGAGAGATGAAATTAAAAGGGAGTCCCTCTTCGCCAGCCTCTAAGTCTGGGCACAAATCATTACAGCTGTAATTGGCTTCTGTGCAACAGGAGGTGCAGTTAAGTAGAGTTTAAGCACAGTTTAAGTTTGGTACAGTTGAGTACGTTGCAGTGTTATGACGGCTAAGAGCTTGCCTGCCAAAAAGGAGATTAATAAAGAATGTTTTTTAAATGTTTTTGCAGTCTTGGCACTTTCTTCCCCAGCTGCAGCTGTTTGTTCCTAGTTATTGTGAATCATACCCAAGGGGAAAAACATAACAGATCACATTCTTCTAGGCTTTCCTGGAATTGACATTGCTTAGAGGAAGTTTAACAAAAAAATAAACAAATGTCCTGGCTCTTAATATTTTTTTCCTGTGTTTTAGATCCAGACTGGAGTATTATCCAACATAATAATATGTGGGATAAGGTGAGAAAATAAAGGTCAAGACAGGACAGGTGGCACAGACACTCCAAAGCAGACAGTTACTAGTTTAGAATGGTTGGATATCTTAAAATCACAATATTGTCTCAGTGCCAGTGCATAGCTCACTGCTAGCACATTTCCTTCTAGGTTCTGGTGCTCTGGCAATGAACAATGAAGGCTGTACACTCCTATGGGTGCAAGGTCCCCGCTTATTGTTGATGTTTACTTTCCTAAGTACCCACCTACTGATAGCACCAAATGTTCTGTGTCTTGCTGAGCATGCACTTGGCTGTTGTTGGTTCACAGAGCAAAGCAGATTTAGCAAGCCAGTTAGACTGCAGCAGAGCCTGCCCCAAAGACCTTATGAAATAATATGTAATAATTTATTTGCACTACATGATTTCAAGGACTTCTGCTTTGCACCTTACAGCTTAGACTTTGCTACACGAACTTGAAAATTGTAGGTTTTCACCTGACAAAAAAGAAAAGAAATATTTTTGGTGACTGTTTTTACTTCTGTAATGGTAAAGTAACCCTCTGCTGCATCTGTGATAGTACTTCCAACTGACTCAGAGGGGGTAGTGGTATAGTAAGCATATGATATTGGCACTTATGGCATTGTGGTTCTTTGTAGTTTGAAATACAGAAAATTACTTTTTTTTTCTCATATGATTCTTAAGAAATGCTTCAGACTACAGTAGCAGAAAGTTTACCTCTAAGGATTTTCTATTCCGTGTGGTCATATTTACATATATCTTGTCATGAATTTCTGTGGAGATATAGTATTTTCTGGACTGACCTCTGCATCTTTTAGCTCTGAGAGTCCCACCCCCAATGCTAAAGGCATTTATGAAAAGTCATCTGTGCAACAGGAGGCAGGAAATTTGTGTGCCATGATATGATCCTGTCCAAAAGAGAAAATTTTCATTCATCCAACTTTAATCTGTTCTCCAGAAGATGAGGAAAAAATGGTTAAAGTGTCTTCAAGACCGCAGAGAAGACTTTCAATATCTAAATGGTTTCTCAGTTATTGTTCTATTCAAAATACAAAAAAGACTAGGGTTTGGTTCTGTGTGGAGGGTTTCTTGGTCTAGTTACATCATGGTACTGAAAGACATAAGACACGGTAGCAGTACATTAGCAGAGCTGGAAAACTCCCATGTGTTCAGCACAAGCTGATATGCAGTGTCAGATACCAGAACTGTTTTCATGGAGCTTCCCATGGAGCTGAAACACTAGAGGTCCTGAAGCTTGTTGACCTCTTTGTAAACAGCCCACGGAACAGAGTGTAGAAAATCTCAACCTAATGGCAAAGAATATCTCTGACCCTGCACTATCCTTCTGCAATTAATAGGGGAAAGGCTCTAGCCATAGGTTCATTGCTTTTCATATGTATCAGCATGCCATAAAGGGATGTATGGTCTGACTGTGAAATGTTGGAATTAACCTTTTTAGAGAGAGGTTAATAGAATGTCATATCACCAGAGCAATAAAACCAAGTCCTATGCCTATGACTAAAGTTTCCACATTTTAGCACTAGAATTTGTATCTTGCTGTGGTTCCCCTTTAGTAAAGAAACCAAAGCCATATACTTTTTTTAGTGTATAGTAACACTGTAATAGTTGATATGGATTTGTTCTTTCCTCTTTTTTGGCTCAAGTCATGATTGTAGCACAAAGAGCAATTCAAAAAAGGAAGAAAGACAAATGAAGGAGAGGTTCCCCTCAAGAAACACAAGACCCAAGAAAACCAGAACAGCAAGCAAAGATGTAAATTTTGGAAAGAGAAAATCTTGCCAGCCACAAGGCTGGCAGCCAGGAGGGCCAACCATGTCCTGGGGGCCATCAGGCAAAGCATCGCCAGCTGAGGGAGGGGATTGTCCTGCTCTGCTCTGCACTGGTGCAGCCTCACCTGGAGTCCCGTGTGCAGTTTTGGGTACCACAATGCAAGAAAGACATTAAACTATTAGAAAGCCTCCAAAGGAGGGCAACAAAGGTAGTGAAGGTATGAGGACTAGCTGAGGTCACTTGGTCTATTCAGCCTGGAGAAGAGGAGACTGAAGGGAGACCTCATTGTGGTCTTCAACATTCTTATGAGGGAAAGCACAGGGGCAAGTACTGATCTCTTCACTCTCATGACCAGTGACAGGACTCAGCATGAGTCAAGGAAACTGCCTGAAGCTGAGTCAGGGGAGGTTTAGGTTTTATATCAGGAAATATCATTCTTCACCCAACCAGAGTGTGGTTGGACACTGAACATGGAAATGGTCACAGCACCAAGCTTGTCTGAGTTCAAGAAGCATTTGGATAATGGTTTCAGGCACATGGTGTGATTCTTGAGGTGTCCTGCACAGAGCCAGGAGCTGGACTTGATGATCCTGGTAGGTCCCTTTCAACTCAGCGTATTCCATGATTCTATGATAGTATTTACTGCTCAGAGCAGTGCAGAGAAGGCCAGAGACAAGGAGATCTGTGAAAAGGCTAAGGCCAGGATGTATGGCCATCTGGCACGCTCATGAAGGCTGAGGTGCAGGAGATATGGAGGGGAACAGCCACCCCTTTAAGATGACAGTGGCTCCAGGGAGAAATGCCATGGCACAACGGAGCAGTCCCACCGTGGCAGTCATCCTGATTACCCCAGCAAACAGGACTCCAATGAGAATTGAGAATGTTTGTGAAGGAGGTGCTTATGCCTTCCACCCATGGCAGTGAAACAGCAGCCTCCCTTGTGGTGCTGAGATCAGCTAAGGAGTAGATCACCAGACCAAAATTACAAACCCTTTTCCTTCCTGAATGACAGAAAAGTGAGTGGCATGTTGACAAACTGAATTACCACCCCTCTTGGGAGCACAAACATGCCTCCTGCCAAGGGATGTTACTTCACTGGAACAGATGTCTTGCCCCAGAAGTCTCTGCTCATTCCTCAGTTTCCCAGCCAGCAGCCCAAACGTTAGAGGGAGGCCATGTTCAGCCTCAAGGCTTCCTTCATTCTACTCCTCACCACTTTCAACTCAGCAGCTACGGACTGCTGGGCTTTATTTGCTGCAAGCTTTCCACCCCAGCCCCTGATTTCTCCCAGAAGAACCCCTGTCTAAGCCACCTATGATCTGAACCAACTTGATCCAGATCCTTGTCCTTCTGCATGCTAAAGTTATTCCACATACACAGGCCACACAGGAAGGCACCTCCCCACTGTCACTTGCATGCTGTCTCTATCCACTGAGTTTCTCTTAGGACTTCCTCCCATATTTCCTTTCACCTACTTTGTGCTCTTGGATGTGAGTGCCAATATTACAGGCTCACAACATGTGTATCACATGGAGATTTCCAGACTGTGCCAAAAAATGGAATTACTAGGTGGAACTCTGTGAATCTACCGGGTGGAACCTAGCTTCGTGGCTAGGTGTCCCACATGTATCAACCCCCAACACACAGCTCTCCTAACAGACCTACCACAAAGACTGCTAAACGGACAAATGGTTCTGGATCTGGCCGGGAGGACTAAAGGAAAGAGAGTTTTGCCCCTTTCGTCACTCGAGGTTTCAAAGCTTTCCTGTAGCAGAAGGCACCTTACCACTTCCCCTGCACTGTGCTTGCATAGGCACGGTGTCTGCAGGCGAGGGGGAGATTGAAATTGGGTGGTGCTGGGTCTGGGAAGCAGAAGGAGAGTTCAAAGTCCAAGGGCAATGTCAGTGAATTCTGACAGTGCTGTGGTACTGGGGTCGTTGCTGGGACAGTCAGTCACCTCTACAGAAGTGTCCAAACAAAACAAACTCATCTAACCCCTCGTGGACACGCAAGCTACTACAGTAGCATGACACTCATGGTGAACTTAGCCAGGTCAGTTATTCCTGCCAGTTAGCACAGCCGGGAGAAGGAGATGCAAACCTGGCCCCGGCTCTCATTGTGGTGGCTGGGCTTGGCTTCCTCATATTTGGATGAGTCATATCAGGGAGGAGCACACTGAGGAGAGCTCAAAATCGAAACAGAAAGCGAACAGCACGTGACATAACAGGGGCTGGCTGTGTCACAGCCCAGCCAGCTCAGGACCTGGCAGCACACAGACCAGCTCGGCTCCCCAGGGCACCTCAGCCCTCTCCAGTGTGTCTCAGCTCCGCACCCAGTCAGATGGGCAGCCGGTAAGCATCCTCCACCGAGTCCCCCACCTTTTTAACGCTACTGGCATTGGAGGGAACTGCCAGGAGAAGAAGTGGTGTGCAAATGTCTTGGAGGGAGCAGGTCCTTCCCCAGCTGTAGGACTCTTTAAGGGCAGTTCCTCTACAGTCTGTTGCATTTGCCGCTGGCTGATTTTTGCTTGCTGGCAATCCTTAGCTTGTCAGTGGCCTTTCTTCACCTATGGTTTCTCTGCAGATAATCCTGCCTGAGGGGAAAGAGGGTTCCGGGAAGCCGAGGGGCTGGGAGGGGGGGCAAGTATCGTGAAGAAAAAGTGCTAAGTCCAAAGCTGCCTTCCTTTCCCACTGCTCTCACATGGCATTTCTCCCTGCAGCAGCCAGGGAGAGGGGATGCAGGAAAGTCAAATCTTTTGGAGGGCTCTTCGGTGAAAGAGAACATGCCCATCCCCTCGTCCCTTTGCATTCAGCCCCACTGCAGTGGCTCCACAGAGATGTGTGACCCTGCACAGAGGCCAGATCCTGTGCCAGAGCTGCATGCATTCCTGCCACCTTTGCCCAGGCATTCTGCCAGCAGCTTGTCGGAGGAAGCGCAGCCCCAGCCTGGGAAGCTGCTCACCTCCCTACCAGCAGCAGAGGAAAGGGCTGCGCAGTCTCAACAGCACAGAAGGTGCCACATCTCCCACAAAGACATCCCAGGGAGCTCCTGAGCCATGCAATGGAGCCTCTCTCTGCCGGGGAGACTGAGACACAGAGCTCTCCTATGGTGAAACCCAGTGTTTCCAGCGATGCCTGTCCAGAAAGAAGGAGGCTGAATCCAGGCTGGGGCTTGCTGTGCCATGCTTTGATTCCTCTTTCTTGCACTTTTGAGGAAGAGCCACAGAGTCTCCTGTCCAAAGGCATAGGCACCTCCTTAGAGGTGGCAAGGCTGCAGATGTTTGGGAAAAACCCCAGCTGTACCCTCGGTGACAGCTCTTTCCTGTTTGTTCCTTGCTTCTCAGCCAGGCTGCCACTAAAGGATGAGCTGCAGAGCTCACAAACGCCGTGCTTGCGGCTGCACTGGTGGCAGGGTGCTAGGTCTCAGCCTTCACTGCCAAATGATACATCGCCTCCAGGCCAGCCATGTGTTCTCTGTCCAGCTGGCACAAGGCACCCGCTCCAGGCATGTTTCTGGCCCTGTCACAGTCACACCTAGGGACAGGGATTTACCTGCTGGGCTGGCTGGAGAGGCGGCAGGAAGATGAGGGGCAAAGCTGCCTGAAATTTGACAATGAACAGAGTGGCATCACTGGGAAAAGAAAATATGTCCTTATAGACATGAGCCTCAAAGCAAAAAAGAGGGCAGAGATACCATGGGGTTTCCCCAGGCCCTCATAGATGTAGAGATCACACAGCAGCCCAGGGTCTCTGAGGTGGCTGTCCTCTACCTGTGCCATATATATCCACAAACCTGCTAGGAATTTAACTCTCTGTCCCCTCTCTAGTAAATATGTGCAAGTAGGACAATTCTAATAGCTTTTATGTTTTATGGATGCTGGGGGAGTAAACATGAGATGATGGAACAAAAACCCTGTATTTCTACAAGCTTGCCTTCCTAAGGAAGTCAGGCTAAAGAAATATGACAGCAAGTATTGGTGAGTGGGCAAGGCCAGGAGCTGGCTGGGCTGTACTGGTCCCAGCTCTGAGGTCTAACAGAAATCTCTGGGGAGCTGGTCAGCTAACCAAGAGTCCCTTCCAAGTGCAGCTTCTTCTGACGGCTGTGAGGCAGGACTGCAGGGAGAACAGTGGGTGGTGTGAGCCCTTGTGGAACAGGGAGAGGAAAAGCAGCAATGCCTGGCTGCAGGAGACCGTGTGTAAGACAAACAAATCAAGGGGCAATATCAGGG